ATTAGAGTTGTCATCACCCCAAAGAAAATGACATTGAATGGTTTCAAGTTATTTAGCAACTTTCTTGGGTTAGCACCGAAAGATATTAGATAGGAAGACTAGACAAGGTGCTATTGATTAAAGTAAGCCTCCCACCTTTGGATATATATTTACTTTTCCAGCAAGCTAGTTTATTTTGAAAAGTATCAATGACTGGATTTTCTTTGTTTACAAGGATGAGTGCTTTTCTATTCAACCATCTCTTACTGACATGACATCATGGAAAATCTCCCAGGAGGGTAATTTTATAATTAAATTGTCTTATGCCCACTTGATGATGCCCGTTAAATTGTATTGCACCCACTTGAGGATGTCGGGGAAGATATTGCTTGTTTTGCTTGGAAGCAAGTTAAGAAGACAAAAACAACATCTAGAATAACTTTCTTTAGACGGAAAGGAATCATAACTATGAACAACCTCAGTAAGAGATAGAATCTCGGTGAACCATTTTCTTTTTGTGCAATGGTGATTATGAATCCTCAAGTGATCTTCTTTTCTGGTGCCTTGGAACTGCATCTTTGGGATTTGGTTCTTAATCTCCTTAACTGAGGCAGGGTGGTTAGTGGTTCTATGAAGGGAGTATTATGGGCATGGGCAGAGATTCGGCTATGAAGCATTGAAGAAAGTCTATCATCTCCCTTGCTATCTCTTGGATCACTTGGAAAGAAAGGAAAATCCTCAAGTGATCTTCTTTTCTGGTGCCTTGGAACTACATCTTTGGGATTTGGTTCTCAATCTCCTTAACCTCAGCAGGGTGAGTAGTGGTTCTATCAAGGGAGTATTATGGGCATGGGCAGAGATTCGCCTATGAAGCATAGAAGAAAGTTTTTATCTATCATCTCCCATGCTATCTCTTGGATCACTTAGAAAGGGAGGAAAAATAGAGCTTTTGCGAATTCCTCTTCTCCCTTTGCTTCAATTGAGGATCATTGGTCAGAACCTCTTTGATTTGCTTTAGGGTCATTAGATTTGGTTGATTTATTTGATATTCATCTTCTCTCATTGTGACAGTTCTATATAATTTTTGTATAGGTGGCACCCCCTCAGTTCCCCTGCATATATTTTTCTTTTCTTCTCAAAAGAGGCGTTGTTGTGCTGTTTCGATCTTTGCATCGTCATCTCATTTATAGGTTGATATATTGAGCCCATGATCTTTGCTTTCCTTCTGACTTTCTCCATTTCTTTGCCATTTTCTCCCACTTTTAGCAATTGAAGATTATGGCTTCAGACTATGGCCTTTTCTACCCATGTCCAGTGACTTTCATGGCAGTGGCCATAATATATTACCAAGAAACTCTTCACTTAATTGCTTCCTTCCTTCTAAATCTTCGAACTTTAAGTCTCAGAATTGTAAGCTATTTATTAGTTTGCTGCAGCATCAGATCTTGCATCGATTTTCCTCATTCTTTATCTGTTCTTCCTTAGTTTGCATAAAATCCTTGGGTTTTCTCTAATGCGTACCAACAACCTTTCACCAAATCCTGCAACATTACTTCCTGCTTAATAAGATCTAAACCCAAGCTTGAAAGTCAGAGAAATTAGAAAAAGAGCTTAGGGCTCTCATAGAGCTGACACCATGTGGAGTTTGAAGAGATTGAATTTTTTTATGTAAATGAGAATATATAATTGTTACAAACAGAAAACATGGGAAGTTAATTGCAGTAAATAAAAATCAAATTAAATCTCCACATCAGTGGAATTCCCTAACCAGTACTCTATATTTTTAGGAAAATTGGTTTCCTAATATTGAGACAAATGATTGAAGAATTTTCCAACACAAATTGTTAGGCTAACTTGAACTTCACTAAGAGCTACAAGCTGTAAACCCAAAGCCCATTTGCGCATATTTTGGTGCAAAGAGGAGTACATGTAATTAAATTATTGTTTTGCTTGAGTAGGGAATAATGGGGCTTTAATCCATTAACTATGCTGATTCAATCTAAAATTTAGCAATGTGTATGGTATATCATATAGCTGAAGTTTCTTAGTTATCTACAGAGGAGACAAAATGAGGGGTATATTTTTATTCCACGGATGAAACCTGACAAGTTGGAGTTCAAGAACAATTTTCTTATTTGGTTGGCTGTAGTGTGAAACACATTTCATATAGTCGTCTTGTTTTGGAGGTTAAATACTTTATCTGCATTTATCTTCTCTATTTCTTCATAATCTTTGATGGTTTCAAGTATTACCTGCTTTGTACTTAAAGTTGACCATGTTATTGACCCTTCCTATGAACTATATTTACTATGTAGGATACTGTAACCGGATTTTTGCTGGCTGGAGTTGGTAATGTTGACTTGCGGAGAAAGACAAACTACCTTATAGTTGATTCAAGTATGTTATGAGCCTTGCTGATGCTTGATTTTTGAAACTTGTTTCATTTGGGTTTTCTCAAATTGTTTGTCAATAACTATCTGCATATTATTCTGTTGGATATGACTCACAGTCAAATTATTCTGTTTATAATAAACACAGACATGAATGTATGTATTTTAAGCTGCAAGAATAGATATCAAGATGGTTAACTACAGGTCAATTTTCCAGCCTGAACCCCAAAGACCTCTATTTACCTTTTGTATTATGTTGACGAAAATAAAAATTTCTTAAATTAACCCACTAAATTGTTTTTCGCTAAAAAAATTGTTGAAACTTGCTTATAGTTTATTCTGGTCCTTCCATGCATTATTTACTTGAAAGACTGAAATATACCTTGCAGTTCTGCCAAATGGCAAATAGAAAATTTTGGTAAACCACCTGAAGTATATATACTTTTTACCAGTATCTCAAACCAGGGCATACTCTTATGATTGTTTTAAGATAAAAGAGTAGAAAAATATATTAGAGTAGGCACCAAGGGGGTGTCGCTCATGTACAAAAGATTTACAAATCTAAGAGTATATTTACAATAAAACCAATATCATCAAGGTTACAAAGGTGATGTCCCAATAAGGTGGACCCAAAAAAATGAAACCATTTGTCTTTGATGTTTCCAAAAGTATCCTCTTTGTCTTCAAAAGTACGGTTGTTTCTTTCTTTCCAAAGTATCCAAAAATTGTGAGAGGGATTAGTTGATAAGTCTTGTTCGCTTGCATAAAAATTCCCAAGCATTTAGTTCCCTTTGTATTGAATCCGCAGTACTCCAGCAAATGCCAAGTAGCCCCAAAACCATGGACCAAAGCTGACGGGAGAAAGGACAATGTAGTAGGAGATGATTACAGGATTCGGCATCAGCTTTGCCCAGGAAGCATCTGTTAGCCAGAATAATACTTTTTTTTATGAGGTTGTCCAGAGTGAGAATCCTTTCCTTGGCAGCTTCCCATGTGAAAAAAGAGACCCGCGGAGGGGCCATGCTGTTCCATATCATTTTAGTAGCGAAGTCTGGGCATCTAATTCTGTTGTATGGAGTCAAGTAATGGTAGAAAGATTTTACCGAGAATGTACCATTGTTGTCAATATCCCAGAGAAGTTTGTCCTCTATATTGGTGAGTTAATTGCAGATAAGAGAGTTAGTAAGCTTTCATATTCAGCAATTTCCCAATCCTTCAAATTCTTAGAGACCACGATATTCCAGCCACCACCATTTGCCCTGTCAAAAACATTCTCAACCAGCGTCTTCTTATCTTTGGCAATTGCATAAATGAGAGGGAATTGATGTTGAAAGTTGGAAGAACCACACCATTTGTCAGTCCAGAATTTACATTTGTTCCCTCTGCCAGCAGCCCAAGATGAGCAATCCAGTACTAGTTTGTTGATGGAAGAGATGCCTCTCCATAAGCTTTTCCCATAAGTGATATAGTTCCCTCTATGGTATGGATAATTTCCACTAATGTTCCATTTGCAGTCAACTATTTTTTTCCACAAGTTGGCACCTTCATTCTAGAATCTCCAAATCCATTTGCCATGTAGGGCTTTATTCAAAGTGGTTAGCGATCTACGGCCGAGCCCCCCTTGATTTTTGGGTAGTTTTACGTCCTCCCATTTTACAAGGTGGAATTTCCTTCTATTTTCCTCACTGCCGCACAGAAAATTGTGTTGAATTTTTTCTAATTTGTTAGCAATATTGGCCGGAATAGTGAGGACAGAGAGGTAGTATGTTGGGAGGTTGGCAAGTGTACTTTTTATGAGGGTGAGTCTCCCACCTTTGGAGAGGAATTTCCTCTTCCATATTGCAAGTTTTTTTTTTCAGAACTATTGATGACTGGATCCCACGAAACCCTGTCGCATACACTTCCGATTGTGTCTTTTATGCTCCATAGTTCTTAAGTATCTCAAATTATAACTTGATATACATGAGAAATCTCAAATTAGAACTTGATATTCATTTCTCATGTAATATACACTAGAAATTAACTGTCATGGTCTTCATTTAGCTAAAGTGATGTATAGTTTTGTCATTGATTTTCTGACTCACTGATTTAATTAACATGTGTATGAGGCATGTGAAAGTCAATTTTTGATGTAATCCATCAGGAAAGTGATTGGCTGTTTCTAATTTGAGACATTCGGAAAGTTTAGGTCCCAAAAGGACGAAAAATATAGATCCTAGTGTGAGTCAGTTGTAAAGTATACCTGTGCCTTTTTATATATAGTTGACCTATAGTTTCTAAAGATTTTATCTTGCAAACAGAAATTATTTGGAATTTTTCTTTTTGGATTTTATTTTAGTAGGAAGCCAATGGAAAATTTCTAATATGTGAATCTTCAACGAACTGCCTCTTTATCCCATTGACCACGCTTTTAAATTTGCTGTGTTCTTTTCAGTGAAAAGCAACAGAAATTGTTTGGAATTTGATTGATACTGATATTTTTTGTTGACATTTTTTCATTCTGGACAGAGACAACTGTGAAAGCAATTGAAGATGCATTTAAAGAATTCACATCAAAGGAGGATATTGCCATCGTCTTAATCAGTCAGTATGTAAGTTCAGGCTCGTACTCTTACTCATATAGTAACTATACCTGTATTTGAAAACCATATTGGAGAAGGTAGGTAATGCTTTAACAAATCAACCATTTGATTACTTCATTTGCCTCTATGATAGTAGTCTATAGCATATTCAATATTTGAATCCAATGTTACTAGTTTGTTACAAAATAATTTTTAGTTTACGAAATTGATAAGATTCCTAGTGATCAATTTTGGCATTCTTAGTTAATGCATGCTCGTTCTCCATTCTTTACTAGGTTGCAAACATGATAAGATTCCTAGTTGATACCTATAACAAGCCAGTCCCAGCTATTCTAGAGATTCCTTCCAAGGACCATCCTTACAACCCTGCTCAGGACTCGATTCTTTCGCGGGTGAAGTATCTCTTCTCTGCTGAATCCGTAGCATCCGGAAGGCGTTAGATCATCGGTGTATGTTTTTATCAAGTTTGCAAACTTGATAACCTCTACATTTAGTAGAGAGCTTTCTGTACTGCACCATACTTTGCCATTAATTTCCCATTCACTGATCTGATATTTCAACCGCAGATTTCATGTTGGGTTGGCTTCTGATCTGTGTTTCCAAATAAAATGAGATTTTGACTGGATAATACTTTTTGTATATGCACTCATGAATGACTAATAATGTTTAGTCTTGGTTTATTAAAATTTTAATTTTCTGGAATGTTTTATTGGGTTAGGCTCTTTAATTGGATGTTACATTAACATTCAAACATATGAATATATAGGGCGAGCATCGGTCCAGCTCCAGACCGGTCGGACCGAAACCGAAAAACCGGTTCAGACTAAAAATTTCCGGTTTGGTCCAGTCTTAAATTGAAGTGGATTGATATGATTCTACCCAACTTCACTTCTTTTCTTTATGTCTTATTATTATTATTAATATTAGTCGTGGGATTATGTGCTCTTTAAAGAATAATTAAATACTAATTTTTTATATTATCTATCACACTTTATATTAATTAAATATAATTATTTTATAATAATGTTTTTGAAAAGTTACTAGTAGGATTATGCCGCTAAATATTAGTGCTTTTAGAGACGTTTGTGCCTTTCTTAATACATTAGAAAAATATATATTTTAGTATGATTTACATAATTTGAATTAAATATAAAATTTTTATTTTATTTATTTAAAATTAAACGAAATTTGGGAATTTAACCTTATTTAAAAATATTAATTAAAATTCAAGGGTATATATATATATATGTATATGTATATGTATATTTATGTTTATTAAAATAGGATATAATAAATAAACAAAAAGTCGAAAAGCGAAGGGGACAAAAAACGTGAATTCGAAGGAAAAAGGATATGGGCCCCACAAATGTACTGGGGCCCACTATAAGAGTGGGCCCAGGCTTCCGTATTTATCCAGAATGAGCCGCCACGTCGTGCCACTGCCATCCAATAGCATTCACCGAGTTTAGAAAAAGTCGTCTCCTCGCAGCCGTGAATAACTAAAATTGCTAAACGCAACGACCCTACGCCGTCGTTTTGTGGCTCCACATGTTTGCTACGGGGACTTCCTTATTCTCCATTACGGGTCCTTGGAGATCTAGAAAGTTTTTAATTAATTAATTAATTTTTTTAAATAAATTTTAATAATTTATTACAAACATATTTGCGAAATTATCAATTATTCATTAAAAAAATTTAAAATTATAATGTTTTTTAGAACATTATATATATATTTTTTGAATAAATTATTGAATTAATCTTTGAAATTTAATATATTTAATCTTTTTCATAATTTAATTCGTGTTTTTTTATTTATTTTAAATATTTAAGTTTTTTATTTTTAAATAGAATAAATTAAAACGATTACACACTTTAAAAATAATTCAAAATATAATTTTAATTAATAATAAGTAAAAATAAAGTTAATAATATTATTAATTTAATTAATTTTTAAAACTATTTAAATATAATTCTAACAATTTTATATTTTTTATTAAAAAATAAAAAGAAATTAAATTTTGTATTTAACCATTTTAAATAAAATTATAATTAAAATTTTTAATATATCATAAGTATTTTTTCCTAATAAATGTTTTTTTTTTAGAAAAAAAGAGAATAAAAAATTAATGAAGAAATTGTCAAATCCACAATCTTCCTTCTCTCACCTCCCAAACTTGATAAATACACTTTGCTTAACCTAAAAATGGAACCCCACACAAAATGCAATTCAATCACTGATAATCCTATACATATACATATACATACACACACACACACACATATATATATATATAATATAAAAATACATATTAGGATAATTCTCAGAAATTTTGTTCATCAATTTGCCTCTTTGACACCCAAATCTGACTCAGACAGAATCCAAAATATTATTTTAAAAAATTAAAAATTTACAAAAGTTACAACCAAGAATTGAAAAAAATAAAATAACCCAACAAATATAAATGGATATAATGGGATATATGTATGTATATATATATATATATATAGAGAGAGAGAGAGAGAGAGAGATTCAAAGAAGAAAGCAAGAGTGGCAATATCAGAAAAATGGATAGGGTCTTCTCTGTGGAGGAAATCTCCGGTCAGTTATGGTCATCTTCTCCGGCTCAACGTGACGACTCCTCCAAGATGAACCGTAGTGCTTCCGAGTGGGCTTTCCAGCGTTTTCTCCAAGAAGCAGCAGCAGCAGCAGCGGCCGGCGATGCCGTCTCCGACTCTTCTGCTGGTGACGACAACGACGCCGTTTTGGAGATCGAGCAGCAGAGTTCGAATCAGAATCAGAATCTCGAAGCTAAGGAGGGGAGAGTCTCTGCCGGTTCGTGTAGTGGTCCTGGGAACGGTAAGGTGCCGTTTAATGCTCCTCCTCCTCCTAATGTTTCCATTGATTCCGAGGACTACCAGGCTTTCCTCAAAAATAAGCTCAATCTGGCTTGTGCTGCCGTTGCCTTATCAAGGGTGAGTTCTTGCTTGTTATCTGAATATTCATGTGTAGGTTTATATTTCTATGTCTTCGTATGTACGTGGCTTGTGTTTGGTCGTTGAGAAAGTTGACGGGTGAAGTGGATTATTAGTATTACCATTACCAGTCCTGTTATTGTTTTATCTATCATGTTGTTTGGGTCTCAGGGAAATGAAAAACCAGCTCAACTGAGCTGAAGAACTCTGGTAATGGAGATTGGATAATTTGTCTGTAATGTTCTCAAGTATTTAACTTTTTAAGTTGATTAGTTTCTGGGTTATGTAAAAGTTCAATAAGTCCAATTTGATAGGTTCTCAGAAATGGATTTTGTGCTTTTCATTTTTCCCCCGTTTAATTGGGCCTCCTGTTTGTTTGTGGAGAAAATAGAAGCAAATGGTGTGAAACTGTGGATAGCTTTGTCCTTTTATGTTGATTCTTGCCTTTTGTGTATAGCAAAAGTCAGCTTGCTGTAGCTTAGAAGTCTTTGTTTTTTAACAAGTTACAGCAAGTTTATTGTAATTATCCATTCCTTCTACCTTTTTCCTTTTCTTTCTTCCGGGTTGAAGACTGAGGGTTAGGGTCTTTTGGGAGGTTGATAGATACTTGGATGAAATCATGAAACTGAAAGAGGTACTGTCTTTATAGTTTATGTTGAGATTGAAGTGACCTAAAGGCTATATTCATGGATATTTAATGGTAGAAAGGAAAAGCAACCTTTGACTTTAAAGGCGTATTCATATCAATGGAAAGGCAAAATATTGGAGTACAAGTAGACATGAACCGAAGAAAGTTAGTTTCTTTGGAGGATTTGACTGAAAGAAAAGTAAGACACTTATTTTCTAAAAGGGATTGCTCTTTAGAATTGTTGACATGAACTTCCAAAAACAAGAAATTGAACCTAGATATTACTTCAGCTAAGTTATTTGAGGCCAACACTAGTTAAAAGTTTATCCAAATGAGAGAAAGGTGCAGAAAAGTTTCTTTTTGAATTAAAAAGCTTTTGATGATGTAGAATGATCTGTGGAACTAATCAGTGAATCAATCAAGTAAAACTAAAGCTCACTTAGTCGTAAATTAAAATTTAATTGAAGTTGCTTCATTAACTTCCTACCTGCAAAGATTTTTTACTTACTTGTAACTAACAATGAGAATCTGATCAAAATCTCTTACAGTTTTGTTTAGAATTTCATGGCTGCATATCCTGAGCTGGTAAGATCCTCTTTATGTGATCTGAAGTGTCCATTACCATCAAAGTTAAGTAGCAATCTATCTTTTAAATAAAAAAAATAGACGGTTCAAGCTCCTTAGGAATTCTGCTATTTCTTTCAATTTTTACCTCCAAAAGAATTGGATAGGAAATTAAAAGGATCGCTCTCGAGTTTCCTGGAAGGATGTATACTTTTCTCATTTGAAAGGTGCATTCATGGACATTCTGTTCATTCCAATTCAATTGAACTTGCCCCTCCAAAATGTCATCAATAAATTTTATGAATCATGTCAGTCTTGCTTATAACCTGTTCTAGAGGTTACTTTATTGAAAACTTAATATCGACCTTTTGCTTTGTAATTCAATTGCAAGGGGTCTCTATAATCTTTTCACTTTCCTCCTTTGGCAGAATCTGTTAGTTCTTTTCGATGGTTAGATGATCTTGATCTTTTTAATATTATAATTTCAACAGGCATCTTTTTTAAAACTTCAGGATTCGGCTACCAGAGATGACAGTGGAGCACCGGCTTCCAACACTTCACAATTGGGATCTCAAGATCCTTCAAAAGGTTTACATTACTGTATTTATATGAATTTTGTTGTAGGTTTATTTATTTGTATTCTTGTTGGGTTTGGATTTCAGAATCCAACATATAATTTAATGTTATTTGTATTAATTGTTCAAATTTTGAGAAAGGAAACTTGAATTACAAGAGAAGAAGACCAGCTAAAAGATGAATGACAACACATAATTCAATGTATCTGTATTCATTTTTCATACCTCTCTTATTTCCATATGTAGTACCTGTATCAGACTGTCAAACTAAGTTCAGCTCTGGAGAAATCTTTCACCAACTTGCTTATGTTTCAAAATCCAGTGCCTACTACGCAATCTATAATTTTTAGCTTTGTTTTATTCTGAAGCAAAAGCACTTTCTCTTCCTTGGTCCACTTTTAGCCACAAGAAATCCCTTCATATTTGGTTTACATTCCTAGCAAGTTTAAACAGCAATCACAAGCAAAGAAATCAGATGTTAGCCTATGTCTACTTTACCTCCTTCAGATAACTGTTTCATGGCATCATCATGCCAACAAACTTGCTAATAAGGGAATGATTGCTGAAATATACACAAAGCAATTAAGATTTTAAGGGGATAGCCAAGCGTAATTTAAAATGAGGAATGCAGAGTCAAAAAAGGAGGAAAAAAAGTGCATGATATTAATGGTGATAATGATCTAGCTACAAGTTATGATCACCATTGATAATCCATTTTCTGCACAGATCTTTAAGTTGTCAAGCATGAATGGATTTAAAGATTGCACTTCTATTTCTTGTTTCTAAGCAATTATATTCACTGTTTATGTGCATTTGCTTTTTGATTTTCAATGGCCATGGTCCTGCCATGGACCAAATATGAGTTCAATCGAGCTTGACAAGTAAAACTGTTTTTGAAGTATTATCCTTTTCTTCTATCACCTATGTAGGAAGTGGGTATGATTTATCCAGGTCTCAAGATAAGGATGCTAATGGATCAGTAGGGATGCCTTCCTTGCCAGCCATGCAAAAGAAACCTGCGGTTCCAGTG